TTAGATCACTTTAATTGGGTTCAACTAAATTCGATAGCCTTTAATTTAACACACAATTATTCACATATATAAGCCCATCGATGGATTAAAAATCCTTACACTGAGGATTATCACCAAGAATTGGCAAGTTCGATTTTCTAAGGGGTTATGCCTGGAGACGGGTGGAGTGGCCGAATGGAAGATAGTATCCTCCAAGGGTGCATCCCCGTAGTTATTCAGGTTGCTTCCATTGGTAACACAGTGTTAAATTGGACTCGACACTATAACAAACAAGATTTGCAATAGTGATCTAGTTTTGACATTTACAGGATGGGATCTACTTGCCATATGAAGCTTTGCTGTTCGCATTCAAGAAGACGAAATTCCAAATTTGATACACACTCTTCGAGTACTTCTACTTACAAACTTCGAGTAATAGTGGAAAGTTTCAAGTCTTGCGACTGATTTTGGTTTTAAACTTCATATAGAGAATCAACGAGACAGAGGTAGAATTCAAATTGACAAATGTTAAGATCTGGCAGAGGTTCTTATATCGTGATTCGGTTTTGCTCGAAGCTAAAACGCAAAACGCTACACTTGGTATCGTCGAGGATTGGGCAATAAAGTTCTCGTAGCTGAGGGAAGATGATGTCTTTGCTACTCCGATTCAGGTATGGCGAGTTAGGTAAGCAATATTGAATAGTACTGCCCAGTAAAAGATCAGTCACATAGTTCTTAAGATGACTGCTCAAGAAGACATGGTTTTCAGCATACATATCAAACGAATATTTCCTTCAACCTTGTCGATGAATATTTTGAGTGGTTTTTTTTTTTATAATATATTTGAGCAGGTCTTACACTACAAGTTACATAATGACCCAAGGAGACGACAATTTGATACTACCAAAAAGGAGTTCGGTCTACCTCGAGAATGTTTGCTAAGAATGTAGTTATTAGCTTTGACATAACGGGAAAATATTTCGAAGAGAGCAATTAGTGGAGAGTATTTATAGGCAACTGATAGTCTTTCATCACATATTCTGAATTTATTAAATAACGCCCACACTGTGAAAGACATCTTCTTTATCTGTAATATTTAACGTGATTAGATATTATTGTATCAGAAATTTTGCGAGAAACTTATTACATTTATAATTCCACCCAAAAATCCGACATGAAAATTAAAAATTGAAAATATAAGCAAGAAAAATAGCAATTACAAGATATGATGGGATCGAATTAAAATTGGAAAATATCCCGGACACAATTGGTTTGCAATGATTTACAAAATTAAACGGAAAAATAAATGTTCACGAAAATATTATTTCGATTTAAATCCAATACAAGTGTACGGTTCGTTAACAAGTAATATAATGAAATGTTGAGTTCCGAATATTGTCCCACATAGATTGAGTTATTTCAACTTTGCTTATCTTGACATTAACCGAAACAAGAAAATAGTACATGTTTTGTGATGGAAATTGTAGGTAAACTAAATTACGAATGCAGTTATGAATGACTTAAATGAATTAAATGTGAAGTTGTGTTTGAATGCAAATCGATGTAACTAATGAATAAGAAACGCACTAAGATCGTGAATCCCCATGCAATGATTCTCTTTAACCCTTGTTCTACCATTTGACAACACATTTGAATTGTTGAAGAATTAATGTTCATATTTTATTCAACAATCTCTCTTGAGTAGTGTTGAACTTATCTTCATATTTGACCCGACTATATCTTTATTACGGATGCGAATATACAAGAATGCATGAATTTTTGTCAACACTTAAAGATTCATGCAGAGTATAACTGTATATCTCTATCCTCTATCGAAATCTATGATAATTTATATCTTGTCGAGACTACTTTCTTTCTCTCAAATGCATGAAATACACTATCAGATTCACACAATCACGTGCACAATAATTGTGGAGAAGATAATTGCATATAAATCATTCAAACTCAAAGAACGTGTTTTATTGTCAATGATGTAAAACTAGAAATCAAAAGATCACATTACATGGTTCATCGTTCTCCTAGTACAAAAATATATAGCCTAACACAAAAAAAAGAAGAAAACAAAAAGAATATGAAGAAATGACATCACCGATTTAATGTTCTAATTGAATCTTCGCGTAATCACGTAGATCCTCATGTTTCTCCTCTTGGTTTTGGCTCCAAATCTCCTACAAAATATGTTGTAATTTGTTCTAATGTCTTCTTCCTTCGATTTGATTGCTCTAGGGTTTTTAAAACAGGTCCCATGACTTGTTTCCATAAGAATTTCAATCGAAAAAGGAAACTATAATTCTCGTGCCGAAGGTGTACTATGCGACCGTATAGTAAACCTTTCATGTGACCGCATAGATCACACAAAATCAGCCCTCCAAATCTTTGGATATGATATTGCGACCGCATGGATTTTCATACTATGCGATCACATAGTATGAAGTACCTTCCAAAAGTGGCAATTTGGTCCCCAATCTCCAATTTCATGCTTCTTGGCGTATTTCTTTCATTTCCTCTTCTTCCATCACTCCATTACTTCAACAAACTGGTCCTTGATTTTTTAACATCTTCATTTCTGCTTCTGGGTAATCTTTTGACTATTTACAATTTAGTCCTTGAACTTTGGTTTTCCTCCATTTTGGTCAATTTTAGCTAATCTTATTTTCGTTACATTCATCAATGTTGTCCTACAAAACCTAATTTATACAAGATTAAGCCATATTCCAGTCTAATTTCTAGCAATTGTCCATATGTTGTGGCTTAAATAAGTGTGTAAAATGCACTTATCAATAAATAAGAACATAATTGTTTTCTTTTTTTAGTATTATTACATTTCACCTTACCAAAAAGAAAAAAAATCATAAAAACATATTATTTTATAAAAAAATTAATTTTAGAAATTATATTTGATAGATTATGTAATTTTAAAAATAATTTATTTTCAAGCACAATCAAACATATTAAGATAACAATCATTTCATGGTGAAAATGAAATGGTAATAAAAACCCATTTTTCAAAAAATAAATATAATTATCCATTTGTTAACATATTTGATCTCCATTTTCTAAAATTTATTTTTCTTCAAACATATTTTCAATCATATATTTATGAAATTCACAATTTTTATTAACTTTTTAATTATATATTTCATCAAAAATTAATTTTAACTTATTTTTATCTAAACCAAGCAGAGCACAATCTCGAGTAGCATATAAAAATTCATACAATCAAATTTGATTTATCTATGCATAAACCAGGCAACAGATAGAGATAACCGATAATGTCAATCTTAGGTTGGAATGAACATAAAAAGTTAAAAAGCCCAGTAGAAATTACTTTTGAAAAGTCAAACCATACATCTTAAAGAAGCTGCCAAACCAACCCTAAATTTTCTTTAACCGAAAAAAAAAGGTAAAAATATTGAAAATACTATTGAGCCCCTTTTCAAGGGGGATTAAAATTAAGAAGGTGTTTGATACCCATTTTATGAAAAAAAATGAATTTTAAAATAGTGTATTGATGAAAATGTGTGGATGAAAAATAAAGAAAAGTTTCTTATTTACGTGTAATATTATTTTAATGAAGAATGTGTTATTAAAAAGAAGAGAGGAAAAAATGTATTTTGATAAAAGTAAAAAATCAAACGGTGCCTAAGTGTATGTTTGGTTTAGATTAAAATTTGATTTTAATTTAAACTAAAGTCAAACAATTAATATTAATCACATCTTTTATGGATTTCAAAATTTTTCAACCACACGTTTCAAAAACGTTTATCACAATCTACTAAAAAATTTAATTTTAATCCTCATCAAACATCCTCTAAGATTTCATTTTATGAGATCGCCTTCAAAAGACTCTATTTTTTTAAAAGCATAATCTATTATTTAAAAAACGTCTATAAATTTATGGTAAAATTTTGAAATACTCCAACAAACTATTTATATCTAACACTTAATTTTACTATTTTCAAAAAATATTTATTACTTTTCTATTTTTTATTTTAACTAGTTTTTATCTTGATTATTTATTATTTTCTTAAATTGAAAATCGAAATACTTTGAATGCATTTAATTATAAAAAGTGAGTTAAATTCACTCTCTAAATTAAAATGTTAATTTAAAAAATCTCCTAAAGTATAATTTTAAGGAATGACTATTTGAAATAGAACGTCTAATATTTAAAGAGTCTTTTGGAGATACTCTCCACAATTTTAAATTACGCATTGCATTAATTTTTATCAAAATGTACCTAAAATTCAATTTAAATCCCCCAAAGAAGGGCTAAAACGAAGTGCTTTCAATTGAGATTTTAATAGATATTAAAAACCCTTTTAAATTTAGGCGTCATCAATTGAGATTTCAATAAATTCATTAAAATTTAAGTGTTTCCAACATAATCTCTAAAATTTAATTGTCTTCAATAACTCATAAATTTATAAAAATTTGATTAACAGAGAAATTTGAAAATATTTAATGAATTTCAAGTTTAAAATTAGTATAATAAACTCTTTTAAAATTTTACCATTTTTAATGAGATTTTTATGAATTTGGAGAAAATTTATTCAAATCAACAAAATGTATTAGAATTTGTAATCTTTTGAAGTGAGTAAATTATCAAATGGTTACTGAACTTTATAAAAGGTTTTCACGGGTCACTAAATTTTAAAAATCATCCAATTTATAACTGAATTTTTTAAAAGGTTTCAACGAATTACTGAACTTTAAAAATCACTTAATTCATTACTGAATTTTACAAAAAGGTTTTCCAGGGGTCACTAATTTAGTGATCACTGGAAAACATTTTATAAAATTCAATGATGAATGAGTGATTTTTAAAATTCAGTGATCTCTAAATACTAGTGATCCATGGAAAATCTTTTGTACTGTGATGAATGGATGATTTTTAAAGTTCAAAGATTTCGTAAAAATCTTTTGCAAAATTTAATGGCAATTTGGTAATTCACTGCTTTTGAAGTTCCATCAAGATCTCGGACACCTTGCTTATTCCAATATAAAAGCGTGAGCCACACTGCACTACCCTACTCATAATCTTCTGGCTAGAACCTCGTCACTTCTCTCTCGCCGGAAAATATCAAGCATAAGCCAGCAACTACGCCGTCATGGCCGCCGCTATGAATTTCTCATCTCTCAGGTTCGATTCGAAAACCGTTTTTTCCGGGCCCAACGACCTCGGCCGGTCCCAACTTCACTCTCAAATTTTCCTCCACAACAAGCAGCAGTTGCAGAGGAATTTTATTGATTTCAAGAAGTTCTTCGTTGTTTGCGCTTCCACGAACACCGGTTCTGCTGTTATACAGGAGAAGGGAGTGAGCGATTCTGACTCGGGACTGAGTCGAATCGAGTCACTGAGTCAGGTATCCGGCGTGCTGGGCTGCCAGTGGGGTGATGAAGGCAAAGGAAAGCTCGTAGATATCCTCGCTAAGCACTTCGACATCGTCGCTCGGTGTCAGGTGCACACATAGACGTGAACATCTGAATAAGATTTGGTCTTTTCTTTTTCTTTTTGTTTTTTTTTTTTTGTTTTTGTTTGGGCGAAGACGCTGTATTTTTAACATCGAGTTACTTATTTACTTTCTGAATTTCATAAATATCTTAGCAAATTTTATTAGTTTAGGGATTAGTAAGTTATAATAATTTTAAGTTAGAACGTGTTAATTTTTCTGCAATTAGAACTAAATTGAATAATATTCTGCAAGATGTTTCCCCTGGGTTTCTTCAACCTGTTGAAGCTTTTGTTAAATATAAATAGAAGGAACTCACAAAGTTTAACTTCGTATGTAACATGCCAAACTTTTGATCAAGAAGTGAATCCCGTCTGCACCTAAGGGGTTGAGATGGTTAGCGATCATCGCCTAAGGTATATTGAGAAGCAACACATAGCCTGTTGTCTTCTATTTTCATGTTCCAATTGCATTTGTATACAAACTGAAGGAGCAATTTTGTTTCCTCCGAATCTGTCATTAAATTATTATTAGAGAGAATGTTAATATTTGGAATTAGTCTAGTGGCAGCTTGATTTCCCATCCTGTAGAAATAGTTTCAATAATTGTAGCGATAGATAGGGATTGTGACGAAGCCACCCAATATTGTGATCATCAACACAATGAATTGTCTTGAATTTGTGAAACTCCATATTCTTTGCCTATGTTTATTTTGAAGCCTTCAAAATTATTTGATGGCAGGGTGGAGCTAATGCTGGGCACACTATTTATAATTCAGAGGGCCAAAAGTTTGCACTTCACCTAGTTCCTTCTGGAATTCTGAACGAGGGAACTGTCTGTGTAATTGGTAATGGAGTAGTGGTCCATCTGCCTGGACTCTTTAAAGAAATTGACAGTCTTGAATCTAATGGTGTCTCTTGCAAAGGAAGGATATTGGTATCTGATCGCGCTCACTTGTTATTTGATTTTCATCAAGAAGTTGATGGGCTTAGAGAAGCTGAACTTGCTAAATCTTTCATTGGTACTACTAGAAGAGGCATTGGACCTTGCTATTCAAGCAAGGTTATCAGGAATGGCATAAGAGTAAGTGACTTGAGGCATATGGATACTTTCCCTCAGAAGCTTGATCTTTTATTGTCAGATGCAGCTTCAAGATTCCAAGGTTTTGACTATGGCCCTGACATGCTCAGGCAAGAAGTTGAACTGTACAAGAGATTTGCTGAGAGGTTGGAACCCTATATTACTGACACCGTACATTTCATGAATGATGCTATCTCTCAAAAAAAGAAGATATTAGTGGAAGGTGGTCAGGCAACCATGTTAGATATTGACTTTGGAACTTATCCCTTCGTAACTTCCTCTAGTCCATCAGCCGGAGGAATATGCACAGGTCTTGGCATCGCTCCTAGAGTTGTTGGTGATCTTGTTGGTGTGGTAAGTTTTATCTATTTTGTTTTCTTTCCTTCGAAATTAATCCCTCCTTTCGTGATTGCTGAAACTTGAATCTGACAAATACTTCCATTTCAACATCAAATCAGAAGTGGTTTTAATGAAATTTGTTGCCGGAATATCCTATTTTGATTGACTATTACTCAAATGTATTCCAATGAGATGAAACAGGTTGCAGATGTTGTGGTAAAACCATCTGTGTCATTTGTCCCATTAATTTATTTAATGAACTGTTTAGACCGAAAGTGTTTTGTTCTCAACTGGCAATGTTTAATGCAGGTCAAAGCATACACTACAAGAGTTGGTTCAGGTCCATTCCCAACAGAAATTTTGGGTAAAGGTGGTGACCTACTTAGGTTTGCTGGACAGGAGTTTGGCACAACAACTGGTCGACCACGTCGTTGTGGCTGGCTTGATATAGTCGCACTGAAGTACTGCTGTCAAATAAATGGCTTCTCCTCACTTAACCTTACCAAACTTGATGTCTTGTCAGATCTTCCAGAAGTTCAGTTGGGCGTTTCATACAAACAAATTGATGGAACACCAATCCAATCATTCCCTGCAGATCTTCGTGTTTTGGAGCAAATCAAGGCAATCTTTAATTTTGTCATTCTGTATATTAGGCCAATGATTTTTGGGCTCCTTAGCTAGAATTCTTAGAGAACTTTCTTAATGTATGATGCCTGCTAATAGCTCTCTCCCTTCCTGGTTCTGAATTTGCTTATCCTATTGGTGAAATAAGTTCTGACGTTGCTTTCTTGTGCATGGATGTTTAGGTGGGATATGAAGTTATGCCCGGGTGGCAGTGTGATATTTCCTCCATTAGAAAGTACTCTGAACTGCCAAAGGCTGCACGTCAGTATGTTGAAAGGATAGAAGAACTTGTTGGTGTACCCATTCACTACATTGGAACTGGACCTGGACGCGATGCCCTTATATACAAATGAAAATCGGGCATCTCTTGGCATCTTGGTGCAAATATTCTCTAGGCAATAATTTATGTTTTATTTCCTGAGAACAGGAAACTCAATTGGTGACCCAAATTAGTGTAACAATGTATGTTGATTTAGTCTCTGGAGGCTGATTTTGATTATGAATGCTAATTTTATTTTATTGTTTTTGAAAAATGTATTGCATTGGGCCTTCAAAGCAAAGCCCTGTATGGAATTCACAGGAGGATTTTGGCATCGTGCTATCAGCTCTCATGCTTTAGACAAGCCAGTTTAAATGTTATTCAATTGTTTCTCGCCCCTGCACACAATAAATTCCGTTCAGATTTGTCGAAGAATAAAGCTTTTCCCAGTGGTACGATGTCTTATAGAGGTAGTTTTCTTTTCTTTAAAAGTCTTTATTCGGGTGGGGAGACCTGGAGATGGGGTCTGAAAACATTTTGAAGGCATTTGATTTTGATGTTACTGAATGTGACCTATTGCTCGGAGATTGTTCTATTGAGTTTGAAGTCTTGTGTTCATATCTGTCGATTACTGTTCTACTCAGGTGTATGGATAAGCAGCCTGGTTAATATCGGTCGATGAAGAAGGGCTTTCTATGGATAAGAAGCCTATCAAAACTTAACAGTGATAGTATATAGTGTGCCAAACAGTTTTTTTTTCCCTGTATTTTGTTTTTAATCCGTTGCATTTCATCATGCTAACATACCAATGGGAAATTAAGAACTATGGATTACGGCATTAAGATAACAAAATATACTTCAACATTGAACAACCTGGTAATCAAACTTGGAATTCATGGTTTGTTTTCCTCTGGTGCATCTTAACTGATTGTTTCTCCAGGTAGATGCCGATTAGTACTTTCAAAAAATTCGACTGTGTTCGAGCACACAACAATCTGACTCGATTTAGTCTGCCCACAGAATATGCTAAAGAGTCTTCTTTATGGCCTAGATCATTAAATTTGAGAATAAAAGAATAGTTAATAACCACACTTTCATTTTAGTCAAAACACCAATCATTCTTGTTTTACCTAGAATCAGTCACATCAAACATTCATCTCATACATGATGCATCTAAGCTAGCATTGACGTTTCTATATGGATAACAAATTAACCCTCCTCTAGCTGGTGCAGATATAGATTTGCAGTGGACAATCAACTGAATACAAGAAAACCGAAGCTGATGCAGATTTTTCTAGCCGATGATCAACTGAATACACGAAAATTCAAGCTGACTGTCTGCGTCACCTCTCCATTTCCCCAACAACCTATAATTTCTATATATATATGTGTGTGTGTCATATATATACAAGGGTAGCTACTGGCAATCTTGCACTCTCATCACGACTCCATCTTTACCGACTTGAGTGCAGAGAAGCTGCAGCTGCAATTTAAAATTAGATACATCAACCAGTCATCTCGCATTCTCAACTATTTTCAGTAGCATGTTTGACTTAAGCTTAATTTTAGGGGAAAAAAATTCTCTTACCAAGAAAGCTCTCTTTCAAAATAACTTTTAAGCTTAGCAAAACAAGCTTGTGCACTCTTCGGATGAAGGTAACACTATACAGACTATCACAAAGACAGCCTCAAATTTTTATAATTACAAAAAAAAAAAAGAAAAAAAAAAAAAAAAAAAAAAAGGGGAACAAAAGGG